GCAGATTTCGATAGGGACAACTAATGACATTTGTGATTTGACATCTCAACCACGGTCTGGCCTGTCTGCCAGGCACGAAATCTTCGTCGCTTTCATGGATAAATTTGAAATTATTGCAATAATAATGTCGCGTTATTGCGGTTGTATGACTTTGGCGAGGGCCTGTTTAATTCATCTGTGATCAGTGTTGAGATAGCGCTAAAGTGAATTCAGATTACAAATTCGATTTGGTCGTTGAGTGAATGGTCGGCTCTTCGAAAATAAAAATCGAATCACTCCCAAAACTAAAAAACGAGGCACCCTAGTGATCATGAAGTAGAGTGCGGAAAGTGGAAACTATGTATATTATTTGAAGAATAGAAGTGTCACACATCATTTAAAGATCAAAATATACAATGTATAGTATATACCCAAAAAACATTTGTTGTGGCAAATTCATCCATTATCGGGCATATGTTGACGGTCAATATTGGGGTCGGATTTGAGTGTAGTTTCAGTCATTTTCAACGTCGCAATGGAAAGAAAAAAGAGAAAAAATAAACTCAGTTACTAAGTATGAATCAACATCAATATACTATCGGTTCAGTTCAATAAATGATACTCACCTACGGGTTATTTTATATACCGAACTGCCCGTACTTCGGTCAAGGCCACAAAACTCAAGCCCAGCATAGTAACAAAACGTTACAATAATATTATTTAAAAAGAAATCTTAATGCTACATGTAATTAAAACTGGTCGTCATCGGAAACATCGAGAACATAAACGTAGTCCTCATCGTCACTGGAATCCTCATCGTCAGCTGCTTGATTTTGTACGGCAACAAAATCGTAAACAACAAATTGTTAGCCAAAACATTCTTAAACATTTTTAATTTCAGTGATATTTTTTCACCTTTGTACATGATGTTCTTGGCTGCAACGATATCCCGGTGCCAAACAGTTTTCAATTGAAATGGAGCTCGATCATCTTTCCAAATGCCAGTGTTTAGTTGCCAGTTTTTGAAACATACTTGAAGTTTTGACACTAAACCATCTGAATCCATTGGAATATGATCTGGGTTGGCTGCATTCAATCGATTAACAAAATCAACTGCATATTTACGCAATTGTTGGTACACTCGGTTGCTTTTCATGGTGATAATCACGTTCGGTTAATTCCATTGCGATGACTCATCTTCACTTGGAATACAATGCTGACAAACTTTGTATCGATCGCTTTTGGTTCGTCGATCGAATGGCCGGAAACATTTTGCACAAGTTTGCGATGTATTGTATTCGTCGACCAATCGTACAATACAATTTCCCAACTTCTTGAAACTGTTCAATAGTCGTCGTAATCCCGGGCATCGCAATCGCTTTTTAATACCAATTGGTGAGTTTGGAGCTATTTGAGCTGCACCAATAAAAACGAGCGCCGACTTTTTTTTCGTCAGTGATGCCGCGATTTTGTCACTGGCCCGATTCTCTCCGATGTATTTATCAAGACGGAGTCGAATAAACTTTCTTGTTGTGTACACCGCCATAGCTGGTTTCATCATTTTCACATAATAAGCGATGTAACACATCCAATGTGAACGTCCTTTCGGCGATGGAAAAAATGCATAGCGTTTATAGTCGAGCTCCCGTTGTTTTTGCAACAATTCAGTCCATTGATCGGATTTACGCTTGCGTTTGCCATATTTCGCTTTGAAATGGTATTTTGGACCATCAATTGTGATGTTTTCTTGAGATTTACGAACAAAAAATCATAGAAGTAAACAAATGATAAATAAAGAATGAATTTATTGTTTCTTACCTCGTTGCCGGATCGAACGTGTTTGCGAACGGTAGCGTTCCATGTACGAACTCCTGGATCGATTCCAAGCACATAATCAAACTCAAAATTATTGTACTTCTCTTTGATGGTGTTGTTATCAAGTTCTGGTGTATTGCGTTCAGGCTTCACGAAACATAACGAAACTGCCACACTATCGGTTGCCACAGCAAAATCGAATTCCTTACCATTTCCAAGTTTCGAAATTTTTGGCATGTCAAATATTAAATTCCAATAGAAAGCTGGATTGCTATCGTATTCAGTTTTTTCAATGTTTATTAGCTGACCGCGTTTTCCTTTTGCCAATTTCAATGCTCCAAATTTGCGCGCAATCAAATAAAAAAGATGGATATCGATGCGGATATGTTTCATATCGAAATCGTGGACTGGAACTACTAAAAAATTCTTTATTTTTGGCGGGAGTGGAGTGGTCGGCATGACATTGTTGTTCGGATCGCGTCGATATTGGAACCAGCGTTGTTTCAACATTTCATATTTCGCGTGAAAATCGAAAATTTGTCGCTGAATGTTTATAAATATTGGAATGGTTTGGAACCAGCGATCACGAATGAGATTCTGAAAGTGTACATTGATTGGCAATCCAATGCCTGCTGCTTCGTTTAATAGAAGATCGATGTTCGCGTTTCTCTCGACTCTACTTTGGAACATTACGATCTTCGTCGCACGTTTTACATCCAATTCAGTGATGAGATTTCCTTGTCGATTCAAATTCAGTTCGTAGCGCTTTAGTGTGAAAAATTTCTTGATGCGACTGAATGCCCATACTTTGATGTTATTTTTCACGTTTGTTATGTACTGAGTGATGAGATGATTGAATGCGTTTCCCATGCCCTCGCAAGCTGGCCAATTTTCTGGACGAAGAAAATCAGGACATGCTTGCTCCACAGTTCGTCGAAATGCAAGCGGTAATTTGTGGTAATTTTCTTGTAATACCGAGGTGAAACATTCACCAATTACACCATTCACGTATTTATTGAATTGATCATTCGTGTATTCATCGGATTCACCTTTAAAAAATCGAACATTTTCATCGTCAAAGGCTTTGTTTGCTTTGAACAAAAACAGTAATGACGCCAGAGTCGTAATCATTGTGGCCGAAAGGCACCAGTATGTGACCTGATCGATGAATGGTGCACGATACTCTTCCCGCAGCACTTGATTTAGAGTCATCTTCAACGACGTACTGCGCCCATTCTTGGCTCTCTTTCTTCTCATCGTGACAGATCTATTGTACAAAAATTAAAGAAAAAAATACACCAAATATAGCATAGATCACAAACACAATAAGATATAAACACTTCAATCACAAATTAAATGAAACAGTAATGAAGAGCGCATTATAAATATCACCTCTTTCCTCAACAAAGTAACTCTGTATTCTAAATCGAATGATGAAATTTATTTCCAACGTGACATCAAATATTTTGCCGATCGAAATGTTGTTGGAATATTCACAGTTAATTTTATCAACACTCTGTTATTTCGAAATTAAAACAAAGACAGTCACAAAACCAACTGTGAATATATCCATTCCACAGGGAACAGCATTCCGAACACACAAAATCGTTTTTGAAATGACAATAAAACCAATTGATCGCCCAAACCACGCTTCAAACACTCTCATATAATTCTCAAGAAATCGTGTTGAAAACAAAACAAAGTTTTATTGTAAACAAAATCGGTTGGTGCAAAAGTTGTTTATACTAACTACTTGGTTTGACACATATACACCGCGCGAATAGAAAAATGTCAGAAAGATGTCAGTTGCATTTCGAAAATTCAAAATAATAATTCCACAAATAAAGAAAAATAAATGTAATGAATGACTAGTAAAAGAGTTCTTCTGCAGAGTTTTATTTATTTCTTTCCGAATAAATTGTTTATTTTTTTATTTGAGCGTAAGATTTAGATTTTCAATATAAAACTTAATGTATTGGGTTGTGTTCACATTATGTTGTCAAATGAAATATTATTGGAAGTGAAAGAAACAAGTGGATCCATTCCATTGGAATTCGTGGAAACTATGCATATAATCTCCGTTCCATTTGACACGAAAATGACCACCAGAATGGGCCAAAACGTTACATTTTTCAACGTTAGAATGTACTAAAAACATTAGAAATTTTATGTATACATATAATCTACCTTCTAAGTTTCTTTAATTTATATTAAATAAATAATAAATTTATTCTCATTCATATTGACAGATTTCCAGACAATAGAGACACACACGGTATAAATACCTATTAAACAAAATATCGAATTAAAATTTAATTAATCTTTTTTTAATTGATCTCATAGGTATAAATACCGTGAGGATGGCAAAAGTGTGGATGTATGGCTGAGATTCTAATTATTATTATTTTCATTATATATATGAATGGGTAAGAATAATCATGAGCTCCAAACATTCTTTAAAAAAATACTGATACAAGACGATGAATTAAAATAAATGAGATAATAACTCACGTTTAAAATAAATCAGATACTTGAAAGATATTGAAAATAAAAGTGGTATGTATCAAATTTATTTTCAATTCTGGCTAGTATCTCATTTATTTTAACTCATTTGTGCATTATACCGAGTCTCCGAGAGTTTCATATAAGCCTTCCCATGTATTGATAGATCAATAGATGGTAAAAAATCGTGAAAAATGAAAAAAATATTGGAAGTATAAATTAAAACGTAAGGATTTTTCACTGAAATTGGGCATTTATTTCAAGAGGATGGTACACATTTTTTTATTCAAAGTATTGTCCATCGCTAGCCACTACTTTTTCCCATTTTCCAGGCAATTCATGGATTCCGTGCCAAAAG